TCAAAAATCATATCTCTGTAAAAAACTTCATCATATTAAAATATGACAACTTTTAAAATTTCTTTCTTCGTATACATTTTGCAAATTGTAGAAACGAGGCCTTTTGTTTCTCAGAAATTTACTACATGAATATCTTCAAGAACAAAAATCCTTAAAATAGTTGGTTTAACGCCTTAATATTTGTCTTGTATTTGTGGTTACAGATACTACTATAATGTTATCAAGAAAAAAGTCTGACAAATTATTTTAAATTGAAATTTATATTAGAATTTATAGAGTAAAAAATTCATAACTACCACCCCTAACATTAATATCTTGCAATTAGGTATTTAAAATTAAATCAATGATGAGCTTACATGATAGTGAAAAATTTTAAATTAAAATTTCAACTCGTCATTAATTTAATGTTAAAAATAAGAGCACACATATATTTTTATTACTTGATGAAAAATTCTAATGAATTCCATAAAACAAAGGTCACACTTTTTGCTGCGACTTTTTGCAAAATTATTACACAAGTCAAACTCATGTTCAATTATAAACCAGTATACCTTAAATCTCCACCGTGTGAAGTTCATTAGATATTCTAAAAGACATTTCAAATATTTTTTAAATATCTTAAAAATATTATCCGATAACTTTAGTTACAAAAAAGCAAACTGCACGAGCACAATTGCGTATGTAGCTAATATATTCAAGTAACGTAGTGGTAATTTTATATCGATTTCACAAAGACCGTAAGGCATCATTTTTGTAAATGTCACCTTTGTCAAGCGTATAATATTTTTGAAGATATATTTTCCAGTATCTGAAAATGAAAGAATGTACTTGTACTTATTACCTCAATGCTATTCTATTAAATAAGGATTGGAATGGAAATTAAAAACTATATGTACTCCGTTTTCTTTTTTTTTAAATATTAACTGACTATTTCAAAAAAAAAAAAAGAAATCATATCAGTACCTACTTTTTTTTACATTTCTTAGTGCATTCAGACAAGCATATTTACATTCATTTATAGCTAAATATAGCTGCTGACATTTTAACCCAACAAAGAGACAAACAGCCAAGTCTTTAATAAGTAGCATTAATACAATAATCCAGGGGCGTGTTAACTGAAAACAAATCCAATTAAGTACTGAAACTAAGGAGTTTCGGGAAAATTTATAAGAGCTTGAAATAAACGTTATAACAAACAAACTAATGCGTGAGAATCAATTTAATTTAAAAATATATATTTATTACTACGAAATCTTTATGAAGACTCTGTTTATGCCAAAAAATCCAGGCCTGAATGTAAAGAAGATTATAGATCATGCTCTTCATGCCATAGAAAAATATCTGCAAACAATTTTTAAAAATGTTTTTTGTTTCTTATATATTGCTAGTAATGTTTAGTTACATTAGTTAGTAATATAAGAAAGTAATACAAAGGTACATTGCATATGAAAATCTTTGAGTGACAAGTGTTTAGGCTAATAAAGAATGTGATTTAAATAAATGTTTCGGAGTCTTTCTTAATTATACATAAAAACTTACAAATGCGTCAAAAGTATCTTTGGTTTGTTGAAAGGTAATCAAAATCATTCTGTATATAGATAACAACTTTGAATTTTTTTTTTCAACTGTTTCCACAATATTAATGTCCATCACATAAATACTGTAGAACTCTAATATCCACATATTTACTTGACTTGAAATAAAAGTCGTTATTTGTGTCGCATAAAGGACTTGTAAATCAAAATAGAACATTACTAAAAATGGTATCATATCACTAATTTCATTGACAGGTGTCATGCAAATACAAAATCCATAAAAAACAATACATGCAGCGGCTTGAAACCATACAAAAATTTTAGTAATTTTATTTTTGTAACTTGTGACGGGAAACTCATTAAACACTCTTTGTATATTCAATATCAATTTTATATTTCGTTTTGTATTATAAAAGTTAGACCGAAAACAAATACTACCACTTATTGATAAAAACAAAAAATCGAAAAGTTTTAAATATTTGAACCACAGTAATTCATCGTTTGATGTAATCACTCTTAATAATAAAATGATACTTATTACAAATAAAAGGCTAAATGATAAAAAAATAACGTAAAAATTGTTAAAAGTCACAAAGTTTTGGTAAATCTTGAACTTTGGAGACAAAAATAAATATTGCAAAGAATTGAAAGGTAAAAGTATTTCTTGAATATGAGAATCTAAAATATTATCAAACAAAACCTCGTTGGTATTATGTAATGTTTCTATTTTATTCCTTGTACACATTTTGGTTTATCACGGTTTACTTTTTGAATGTTTTATATCATAAATATTTTTAATAGTTTCTATACGTTCTCACGTGGACTCAAGCGTTATTATAATAGATTGAACTTAAAAAAATAATCTTACAATGTCTATCCATCAAACTAATCCTTAACATTATTGTAATGGAAAACTAATATATTAACAAGTCACCATTATTAACGATGGCTAATCTTTTTATGTAACGTCATTCTGAAATTTTATTGTTTCATATTCAATATCTATTAATTTATTAGAGCCCTTGAAGAAAGAATAGAAAATATGTCATTGAAATATTAATAGTATTACCAAACGATACAATTTTACTATTTGTGGCAGCTAGATTGGGTACATTTTCTCAAAACAAAAGTTGTTCCTTTCAAAGATTATCTTTTAAAAAGTTGTGCTGTCTGAAAGATCTCCTTTATCTTATTTACATAAAGTTAATATTAAACTACTAAAACTATTACAAATAAATTGTAAGAGCATTTTCAAAACAATACCGAGTGTAATAATTTCATTAAAAGGGATGTGGGTCATTAAAAGGGACATGGACATGGAACATTAAAAGGGACTGTTTTTTACCCTTAAATACATAACCTTCCCCACCTCAGATCGCCCGTAAATATTTTTTTCTTTTTTTTATAATAATTCCCTCCTTCTATAATCGGTTTCATTCTACAATAACTTTGAACTAACTAACTAACTAACTAACTTTAAGAGGTGGTAGAGCATAGCTGTGGTCTAGTTGCTACAGCTTGATCATGGGCTGGCTCGATCGGGGAAATACCACCCTCTCACAGAAGACCGCCGTGAAGTAGCCTGTAATGGCTACGTCCGATGAGAGATCTGGTTGCTCTATTCTTTTCCCTCCCTTTCCCATCTTTTCCCCCCTTTCCCCAATCAAGGGCAGCAACACATTCGCAAATCTACGTCGCAGATGTCCATGGGCGACGGTACTACCTTCATTAGGTAGGCCGTCTACTCAGTTGCTCCTATAGCATAAAAAAAATATTTTTTTTACTATCCATACTGGTCTACAAATGATTCAGTCTCTTTTTTCTAATGTTTTATTGTTTAACCCTAAACAAGTGAGTTTATTTTCTCTTAAATATATCATGTAAAAATAATATAGTCTTGTTGGGTGTAAGAAAGTTAAAAAAGACACAATCATATCATTGAAATTCAAGATCGCTTTATAACTAGTTTCAAGTTTTCCATTTTATCTCATAATAAGGTTTTTCCGGTTTTATATAGTTACATTATAGTATTATGACATCAACTTGCATTAATTTGTATTTTTTAAATAGTTAAATTAGTAATAAACATAGATCCATAAAAGGATTGTTTCTTTTATAATCTTTTATTCACAAAATTATATTTTTATAAAAGTTGTCGTTAATGAGATTATATAACCCACTTCTCCAAAGGTAAACATAATATTTCTAATGAACATGGGAATATAACTGCACTAGTTTTATTACAACTATTTAAATGAAACTAATATTTTTCGGATATACTACGCGACTTTATTTTTTAAAAACTACCTTCTCCCGACGTTTCGGCTACTTTTCAGCAATCGTGATCAAGCAGCATCGGTTCAAGGGTTAAGGAACACATCTCAGACATCAAAAACAGGCGCTCATCAAAATCAGCAGTGTGTGAACACACATTGGACAAACCAGGTCACTCCATACATTTGGTTTGATAAACTAAAAATCCTCGCTCGTGAAGACTGGTATATATCGAGGTTAATCCGCGAGGCTATTGTAGTTAAAAAACACCCCAATTTCAATGAGAAGATGGGTGGAATCTTTCAAACTCCTGGAATCCTCTTCTTTAAAATATAATATCCCATGTCTGTGACAACACCGTAAGACCTCGGGACCCCGTAAGGGCATCCAGAGCGGTACACTATAAAATTAAGAAATCGATGGCGGAAGGTGATAAATATCAAGACCAACTGACAGACATTCACATCTCGTCTGCCCGTGATCATGGTTGCTGAAAAGTAGCCGAAACGTGGGGAGAATGTCGTTTTTTACAAAAATAAAGTCGCGTAGTATATCCGAAAAATACATACTAGTTTCATTTAAATGAATAACACTCGCCACAATCTTAGGTCTCTTTATTATAACTCTCTGAAGCTAAAACCATATAAATGTCACATCCTAATCCTACATCACAGAAATACTTACATACCTTAAACTTTTCATTTCTTTCTGTGAAATTCAGTGTCACTCTATATATCTTTAATATCAATTAGATAATGCTTGACTGTATATTAAGGAATGAATGTTTCTTTTCCGATAGCTATATACACTACCTTTGCTTGACAAAACAATATTCTAAGCTAGTTATATTTAAAATCATATTTTTACCTTTTGTAATGATCTGATCATGATTCTGATTCAATATTTCTGAAATTGATTATTTACTTTACTTTTACATTCAACCTTCAAGGTTTTCTTTAAAAATAGACTCAAAATGTATGTCATCAAAAAAGGGGTGGGAAGCCTGTGAATATGGTTCTTTTTTTATAATGCATATTTTTGAACAAGTTTTAAAAGATTTTAGTTTAAGGTTAGGCTCATATAAAACAATGCAAAAGTTAAAATATAATTATTATTCATATAAATAAGGACTTATGACTAACAGAACTTCATATTTTGTACATATAATTTATAATAATAGCTTTTAATTTTTCATTGGTAGTCTTGTTTTTTTTCTGGAACTAGATGAGTCGGTAAATTGCCATTCGTAATTCGTCCATTACCAATGCCATTTTGGTTTGTCCTTTTTCTTGTAACTGAAAACAAAAAAAATATATATTCAAACACGTCGTTAATAATTATCGATAATACGGTAACGCATATTTTTAATACTCACACAATGAAAGAAATAGTTTAACCAGGGTTGAAAACGGTAAATCAACAAATATTGTTATTAAAAATGAAGTAATCAGCGTTATTGCCATGAATGCCATGGCATCAAACATCTGTAAAAATATTATTGGATTAAAGTATATTCTATAAAAAAAAAATAACTATGTATGTATAAATGTGGAAACATTTTTTCTTAATAAATTTAAAAGCCACGTGTCGGAAAGATAACATACTAATAATAATAAATAAAGACTTCACTGGCTCTAAAAAGGAAAGAAAAATAAAATATAATGGTGCTAGCAAAGAAGATTTGGCGAGACTTTTACAACTCGTAATCCGTAATATTTTACTTTACAATTTGTTATATTTTCAATATTATAGAGTTTCACAACTGAAGTCGGTTATGTTAGAAAGAGTGGACCTACTAATAATTTCCGGACACTTGACTTTTTATACGAAGACCTCAGATCAAAATATTATTTTAGTAACTTTCTTATTTTTAGTAAATTGTAGTAACCGACGACATATGTAATATAATCAATATAAAAATGCACAAAGTTCTAATTTTCGTCAAGGATAATTTACATGACATATGTTTATACATCAGATATTCTTTAAAAAAAATACGTTAATGTTTTCTTTCCTTAAATTTTTTTTTATTACTTATAGTATCACTAAAACATTGTATTTATTATGTGGTTTTGCTTCTACATTTCATTTATTTAATCATCATTTTTACTTACCACCCTTTGAACAGAAAAGTACAGTGGCTGTAAAGCATTTGAGTAAATCACCATAATTAGTGACAAGTGTGACAGGTACATTGCATAAGATATCCGTGATGGGATTTTCCAAACTTTCAAGCTAAGTAGCCAGTTGATTGGGCCTGAAAATAAGTTGTTTAAGTCTTGTAAAAAATTACACAACAAAATTATTATAACATTAGAAGAAACAAAATCATACCTGCATAGCCATTATAGCAAGCATAAATAATCCAACCAAGGCCGGCAGCCCAAAATGGTCGTAGAAATGATTGAAAAAGATCTTTAACAACTTGGTTATCAAAGTTTGGATCATCACGCTTATAATGGCAGTATAGGATGAGGGCCAAGAGCGAAATAGAAAGTGCAGTTAAAGGGACATGCAAATGCTGGAAATTAAAAATGATATTTCAATATACTTAATTACAAAAAAAAAAAAACTTGTTAACTATTCTTTTTTGTTCTTACCATTGGCATTCTAATTTTTTTTCCACGTGCCAAATGAAGAGCATATCCAAACACCATTCCCACAAAGAAAGGAGGGGCTCTTGTTAAAATATTTACATAAACATAAACGAAGTATTTCAAACCTTCATCTGAGAAGGTATTTGCAAAAATGTAAGCTGTAGAAGCAGTTAGAGACAAAAATAGAGCAAGAAATAGAGCTGACCAGGCCAGTCGTTTTGCTCTGCCAAAAACCCAAAATAAAATGATTGGTGAAAGAATATGTAATTGTACATCAATTGCTAGATACCATGTCACACCAATGCACTGAAAACAATATACATAATTATTAGGAAATAAATATAAAATTGTAGGACATTTTTTTGAAATATAAATATAAATTGTATGTATTGTCGTTTAAATTCTTTATATATTTTCTAACAGCACAAACGTATGTAATAGATAAATCTGTTTCAAAAATCTCTTACATCTTTTTTTTCTTTTTTATTTTAAAACTGAGCCTAAAAAATTCTAAATTGCGGAATATTTTGTTTGTATGAACTATTTCAATTATGTATTATTGAATATCTAATTAAAACGATTAAACAAAATTATGCAAACTCACAACTTCTTCGGGATTGAGGAAGTTTTGTAAATGTAGTAAAGTTGACCACCATACTGTTCTACATCTTACGACATTTCTTAAAACAACTGTCCACATAGGACCGTCTCCTATACGATTATATATAGATGCTTCGAACAAAATTACAAAAGCCAATACAGGAAACATACGAAGTAAACGGTTGAGGTAAAAAGGCACAATGTTTTTCAGCAATTGACCTAGAACCCAAAAGAAATACTGAAGAGGATCAACATATTTAAGAATTACTACTTTATAGTATTATATATTTGAACACATGTATCAAAAACGTTGTCTTAATATATTTATAACCTTTTTATCTACTTTTTCTAAATGTTTATGTGAATATTTTAATGGAATGTACAGACATCTGTATATTGTCAAAAAATGCAAAAAAAAATACAGAATGTATATATATATATATATATATATATATATATATATATATATATATATATATATATATATATATAAAATATTAAAAAGGTTATGTACTTACATCCAGTTAGTTTGTGAGCAGTAGTGTACACTAAAAGAATTCCACTCATCAGAAAGAAAGTGTCAACCGAAAGAAGAGCCGTAGTTATCATTATTGCATCGTAAGATAGTGACCACTTGAACAAAAGCAAATAAAAGTTTAATAGTGTTATAGCGACATTAGTTCTTTGTAAAAGGAAAATAGAATTTTACTTTATTAAGTTTTTTTTTTATGTGAAAGGTGGCAAACGAGCAGACGGCCCACTTGATGGAAGGTGGTTACCGTCGCCCATGGACATCCACAACATCGTTGCGGATGCGTTGCCAACCTTGTTTTTTTAGGGATAGGGAGAGGTGGGAAAAAGGAAATGGTAGGAAAGGGTGGGAATAGGGAAAGGGCAATAATAAGTATGTCTAAGCCTATATTTTACATTCACTTACTTCTAACGTTTCTATCGTATTTGCGGGAAAAAAATTAAATACGAAGAAAACGTGGCCAATCACCACCCAAAATATTGCTAGCGATCGTATACCATCCAGACATTCGATAACACCAGGTTGAGTTTTGGTTGTAATAAGGCGTTTAGTATTGCTGTATGCCGAAAATGCACTCAGGAGAACGTTCATATCTTTGGGATCTGTAACACGCATACATAACAAGTTACAAGATATTTTTTTTTTGTATAATAATTGGAAGAAAAAGTCAGTGGTGGCCGAGTGGTTAAAGGGCCCGCCTCTCGTTGCCGAGGGCGCGGGTTCGATCCTGGCCCGGGCAAGTAACAATGTGATTTTTCCGAGTCATATGTACTTCCTACGAATATTTAGATATCACTGATTAATGTTGATTCCCAAAAAAGAGAGTGTTGATGTCAGGCAGGCGGCCGGTCGTAAAAACAAATAGCCAAAAACTATTCACAACATGTAAGGCAGACCCTGGTTATAGCTGGGAAATCGCCAGGTAAAAGAATTCAAGAAACCGATTGTAGTTAAAAAAAATCTTGATTTTAAATAATAACAAGTAATATGCTTTTATTGTAAATATATTTTACGAATATAGCCTAATTGTTGGACTTTATTATAGATATAAATAATAATAAAAAATAAGAGCTATTGAGTGATATACATCAACTTACCTTTTTTCGAGTAAACTGTGTAATATACATCGTAGCTCGTACTCAATATAATCAACAAACCAAGTAGCGAAAAGATAACTCTGAAATCAATACAAATAAAGTACAAAATATTGGGTACAAGTACAATACAATGATATTAAATAAAAGTGTCCATTATTCTCTTCAACCATAAAAAAAGCATTTTTTTAAATATACAAGAGTATTATTCATCGCAACATTAAATGGTCTTTTACTCTCTGCTAAAGGGTCCAAAGAACCTATTTTAAAATCAGAAGTAATTTAAAATGTTCTTGACTTCTAAAATCCATTATAATTTATAATTTACTTCTTACATAGCAATATAATCGGCAGTAACCCAGTGTCTATCGTTTGGCAGTCGACAGTAAATATTGGAATGTTCTAATGTGTAATTTAATAAGCCAAATAAGTCAAAAGACAGCGCTTCTTCTGTTGTACATACTTTTGGTACACATACACCAAGTTGGAATTCAATATCAGGGAGTGTAGTATTAGGATCCATCCTGTAAAAATATAACAAATTTTTATTTATAATATTTTACTTAAATTATATCTTCATTTGTTAGTCATGTACATTTTATTTAAACCTTACCTCTGATATTCTATTGTATTTCCGAACACAGAACGCATTTTATCCATATACAAATTTCTTTCCTCAAGCTTCTGTTTAGTTTGAAGAGGTAATTGTAATAGGTTTGGATCAAAATCTAATGTCATTTGTGGATTTATTCTTGAATTTGAATTAACTGGTACAGATATCAAACAAAATTTTCCTTGTATTTCCATATCCTCTGATACTTCTTCGTGTATACCAAGACATTGGTGATAGTTTCCATACTCTTTAAGATTTCCTTGTAAAATTCCTTTAGGAATTTTTAGACCGGCATCCATAACTAAATTTAAAGCAATCTAGTTAGTTGTCATGAACTGGGTTTTGTATTGGTAATAGGTAACGTAAAGTAACTTTAGAGGTAAGCACAAGGCTCTATGTTATGCAATATGATGTTGGTCATCAAGCATTTCAAAGAAACAAATAAAGACAAATATAATAGTTGTATACGACAAAATATTTTTATTTAACTGACTCCCTTTTTCCCTGACTGACTTTTAATTTAAATGACTCGAAATCCCTGTTTTTGTAGTAATTTCTTCTAAAATTTAGTTTTGAAGATACTTTTTATTGTAGCAATAGTCTCATACATTGTATTGAAATTAGTAAAAGACTTTTTGAGAAAACTAATAAAAACTTTATTTTATACACTGATAATGTTTTAGTACTTGGTTCCATGAAAAATGGTTTTTGATGAAAACTTTCATGTTTATTGGCTTTTTGTTAGAAATTAAATATTTGTATAAAAAATACGGTATAAATATAAAAAAACCGAATGAAGCACAGCCATCGACTTTTGCGAGAGCATTTTTCAGATTTACTCTAAAATTTTATATTTCTTAAAGCTAAACAATTTGGAGAAACTAATTAATAATATTGTAGATTTAGTTTGTATTTTTGGATTTATTCTAGAAGTCTGTTTTTATCTAATTTAATAATATTTTTCTCTGTCTCAAAAATAATTAAGGTTACAAAAGAATAATATACAAATTTTGTCAATGTCTAAAAAAATATATGTATATTGATCTTTGGTTGCATCATATTACCGTAATGTGAAACACTATAAGAAAATGAAAATCATTAAATAACTTTATCAAGAATTTATTAAATGCCAAGAAAAAACTATCACCGAAAAATACGCAAGTTTTTTTTTCCAACTCTCTAGACAAGATATCATATAATGGAAAGCGACAAATTCAAAACGGAAATTTTCACAATAATTTGGAATTTCCGAGTTGATGAAAAATAAAATTTATTAGTTAGTATTATATTTTATATTTTTCCTTATCAAACGGATAGCTAATAAGATATAAATGTAAGATACTCACACTGTGCAGAAAGCAATGGATTAGACCTACGCATGTATTGCAATTGATTTTGGCATTGTTCTGGATTTAAAACACGTTGGTGTAAATCACGATCCAAAGCATCCAAGTAATCACCCCCTGATATTTTTGCATTTGTTTTGGTTAGAGAAATAAACAAGGCGGTAAAAAATATAGAAGTCTTCATTTTAAAGCTACTGGTAAGGAGACCCACAGTGGACTGATGATAATTAAATGATTGGCCTCATTTAAAGATAACAGTTGATAGGTGCTTAATTCTGACCAATCAAAATTTATATAATTAAACATACGTTTCTTTCAGTTCCTTGAAAAATCTAAAAGTCGGATACAACTTAAATTGACTCCATAGAAACCTCAAAGTTTTGTATGACATCGAATTTTTAATTGAATTTAATGGCTTAATATAAAATGTTAAAATTTTGGGTTGGTGGTGGAATAAGATTATAATTAAATTATTTACATGTAATTCAGTTTCTTGTCCAATCATAATAAATAATATAATTGTACATTTATAAATCTATATGCTCCCACTGCCTTGTCACATTCTGACTTTGTTTACATTAAATTAGAAATCAAGTGATTTATAACTATGTATTTATATTACCCATTACAAACATTAGCTACATTGAGTTCTATACCAAGAAGCGAGAAATTTAAAATAAACTGGCTTAAGTATTAACTAACATTAAGGCGATGAAAATATCCATAATTTTTAAGTGAGGAAACTGATAATTAATCTATAGATAATTTTATTAACGTCAGAAGTAAGAGACGATATTTAAAAATAATAATGTCCAATGCTCATATTAAGACAATACAATTTCAATATTAAATTACGCAAATAAATGTTATGACTTATGATATGATATTTTAGTGTGATTACAATATTAATAATTTAAAAATTAGGTATATAAAATAAAAACTTTGTGGAAGTTTAGCATTATTACAGCGAAACAAAATTAGTTATAATTTGCACCTCATAAATTCAAATCAATATCACGCAATAAAAATGTATAAGACAAAAAAAAATATTTTGTTTTTAAATATGTTTGTTTTAACACAGAGGGGAAATGACTCATAGACGTACACGTGTCGTCTAATTAATTATCTATTAATTTTTTAATCAATTAGGCGAATAGGTAATCATTCAAAAATTATTAATGTTTGATGATTTCGCATAGCTATTTTACACGGTCTCTATGTTAAATCTTGAAAATAACTATAGCATGATATTTTTTTCTTTAGGTGGTAGAGCCTAGCTGTGGTCAGTTACTACAGCTCAAACATAGGCTGGCTCGACCCGGGGAAGTACCACCCTCTCACATAAGATCGGCGTGAAGTAGCCTTTAATGGCTGCGTTTCGTCTGATGAGTGAGAGAGCCGGTTGCCCTTCCCTATTCCTACCCTTTCCTACCATTTCCTTATTCCCATCCCTCCCTATCCCTAAAAAACAAGGTAGACAACGCATCGGCAACAGAGATGTTGCGAATGTCCATTTGCGACGGTGACCACCTTCCATCAAGTGGGCCGTCTGCTCTTTTGCCACCATTCACATAAAAAAAATAACTAACAATTTGTAAGTCCTTAATTCAACGATATCTATAGCTAAAGTATCATTTAATACCATGAATGTATATGTCTCAGTAGATCTGAAATACTTAACTTGAAACACTTATGCAGTTGTCACGTTTTTCATTAATTTGCCCAGTACTAGAGGTAGTTTTTGTTTCAATCTGTTAATTGTTCTAGGTTGATGATTAAGATAATCATTATAATTAGTAGGTGTTTCCTTACGTAAAACCGACTAGTAGCCGCCGTTTTCTTTACTAGCCTAAATTTATCAATGATTTGTATATGGAATTTTTAGTGGGATAACTATAGAAGCCATATTATAATAACAACAATTAATTACTTTCTCTCTTTACGTGTTCTGAACAAGAATTGAAAAATTATGTCTTTGGCGTAACCAAATACTTCTAATGCGACTGGTCTGTGTCTGTTAGCCCTAAGGACTTTGATATAGTTAGCGATTAGTATAATCTAAATAGCACCTACCCTTTAAATACGAACCTGATGGGATCGATTCATCACTCGAGTCCAAAGGGTGCTTCTGGACCTTGGCTCAGGATGTCTTTGAATTGGCATCATGTGGCATTTGGTCACCAACAGCTACAGTAAGTGCACCTACCGTTTCTGAAAAGATGAATCAAATAAATATTTACTACTAAATAAAAAAATGATTACATTAGTAAAGGCAAATAAATGTATTGAAAATTTAGCACCTTATAATGGATCCGACAGCAATATATATACATACATATATAGATTTTTTATGAAAAATTATCAGGCACTATAATGTAAAATGTGTAGGTAATAGGAAAAAATAGATCTGACAACTTCGATGACCACAAAGATAAAAACTAATGGATGCGAATGAAATGCTTTATGTTGCCACTTGACTTACAATTCATAATAATTTTATAGACAATAGATTTGAGAAAATTTTCTACAAAATTTGATAAAATATCTGTATACAAAAATTTCAAGTAAGAGATAAACTGTTTAAAAATAACAGCTGAAATATTAATTTTATTGCTGGAAATACACATGAATTTTTGAAAAATACAAATATTGAAGGATTATTTCGTGTAATAGCGAATGTGATTTCACTTTCAGTAATATAATAACTCACAGAATTGATAAATAAATCATGCATATACCCTATTGTGGAAGCTAAATCGAATAAATCTTTACTGATGGAATAAATTAAGAATTTGTACAAGTTTTACTAAAAACATAAAATTTTCTAGCATTGATCTCAGAAGGAACTAACGAATAAATATTTTTATTTATAAAAACCAAAAAGTTCATTGATGAACATTATTTAAAATATAGGAACGAATTCTTACGAATCATACCCTGTACTCAGTAAAACAATAATTCTTATACAATTGCATATAACTATTTTCAACATATTTATGAATAACTAAAGCTTAACATGAATTTATTAATAATTTATATGCATTTGGAATATCACACAAATCGGAATCAAGAACCCTCCCGAATATATTTTTAAAACAATGATTATTTGGAAACAGTCCAATCATTTAATTAATAACATTTTCCTTAATCAAGTAAGAATTTCATCACTAAAATTAACTTCAGAATGCTAATCTATTACGCAAAAAGAAAAATACAGAAATACATAACATTATGTTAAAATATATCCCTAAATCGTAACTTTAATACATTTATTGCTTTAATCTTATCGACCCAAAGGCAAGAGGTAATTCTAAATTTACCCTACGTCTTCGATTACATATTAAAGATAATTATTTTAAATTGAAATGTAATCAACATATTTTGTATATAAAATTTTTACTTATGATCTCTTGTATAAATTATAATTGTTCTATATTATTATTTTTTGCTAAAAACTAGAATAGAAATAGATATTATTAATTTTATTGTGAATGGTGATTTTTGGACAAATGCAGCTATCATCATTTACACATTTCATTTGAAATGATTTTATATAAGAAGCACTTTCAGAAGTTAATAGGGAAATAAGCAATTTAAATAGTAGTAATGAGCGAAACTGATAATGTATGCTGTAATAGTAATAAAATTAATACTTATAATGTCTGTGTAATATTATTATCTCAATGTTCATTCATATTATTCATACATCATAATGTCTTAACTTGTTATTTTATTGCGTGTAATTTGATATAGCATGATAATTTTTCCTTTACGTAGCATAATTATACATAGAGAGATAGTGGGGTACGCGAACTGAGTATATATATACTCATATGATTTCTAACTTAACTTCTTCTACCAGGAAATTTCCCACATATAACCAGGGTCTGTCTTAGATGTTGTAAATAATTTTGGCTCTTTGTTTTTACGACCGGCCGCCTGCCTGACATCAA